TTTTACTTTTGAAATTTTGTTGGAGAACCAAAATATGTTTTCAAATGAAGTATATAGAAAAGAAATAAATAGATAATAAATTATCTTATGAGAGACAATTCAATAATTATTTTTCGTGTTTAAATACTTATTCTCCATTKTGCAATATTATTTTATSGGTCTCTCAATTACAACTTTGACACATTACAATCTTGKTGACACAAAGTGGCTATTTAGTTTTCWTTAATTTATTCAAATATTTGTGGCTGTAATAATTAGTCTCTAATTAATTCACTTTTMACTTTAATTTTGATCCAAYTTATTTGATGAAAGACATGTTGTATATCATCATTATAWGACTAAAAAATTAATTTTCTAATTTCAYATARTGAAACAAATATATTGATTAAAGTTTAGTTTAAATAAAAAAGATTAAGATTTCACATGCAAAMWYCTAGTTATACTCCAGTTTTGTCTTTAAGTATTAACTTAAATACTTAGTCMATAGAAAAATGTATAATTAAATATATATTGAAAACTTRARRGTAGACRATCTAAGATATAAAYTAAAAGGAAAAAKGTGMATAATGTCAGCATAACATATGAAAAATATTAATTTTATAATAGAATTATGRTAATAAGTGTGAACTAGAAAGAAAAAGTTAAAGCGAGATAACTTAGCGGTAATTGGCCTATATTTCTAATCAAGAGGTTGTGAGTTCGATCTCCACCCTCACATGTTGTACTAAAATAAAAAAAAGAAAGAAAAAGAAAAGGAAAAGGAAAGGAGTCTAGGTGTTCTATAATTAAATAAGAATTAGTTCTATAGAGCTTTAGGTCCTTTTTTTCCCTCGTCAATAATGACACAAGAGAGATATATCTTACTAAACACTATATTATATATTGTATGTAGAAAATTTGGAAATACAGTTTTCAAAACCAATTTTTTATGTTCTTGAATTTTCATTATGAAATTAAAAAAACAACAAAACAATGGAGTGGTTAATTGTTGTTGGGGAAGCTATAGAGCGCCATGGGAATTCCTCTAGAGTTGTTGGATATGCAACACTGACTTAAAAAGTAGCTAGGAAGAGTGCACTGGAACTGTGCCGAGCACACCTGAGAAGGTCCATGGGAATTCCTCTAGAGTTGTTGGCTATGCAACACTGACTTAAAAAGTAGCTAGGAAGAGTGCACTGGAACTGTGCCGAGCACACCTGAGAAGGTCAAGTGTTGTCCTAGCAACCCTACTGCTAAGCACATGACAGTGTACCCAAATGAGCTTGCACCAAGTGAATAAAAGCTTGTCTCCACGAGGATTGTACCGCTATTATATTTCACTCTAGACCTTAACTTGGGAAATCGATAACCAAATAAATAATTACTTGTTTCTAAAACATTAAAACTATAACTAAATGCATGTACACACAAGTAAAAACATACGAACAATAAGCTAGTAAAAAAAATGACAGTGAATTTCGCAAGAAATGATAATGGGAGAGGTTAATTAATTTTACTCAACTCCATGCAGTCGAAGCTGTAGCMTCGTAATCGAAACTGCTACTASCTAAACAAACATGATATGGTTTCGAAYCATCCACARCTTTCATTGCTTAAATAAAGAATTGATCTAGTTCTTAGGTAGCACTATAGGCGTTAATCCTATACGTAAAGCTAAACATTAATAGCTRTGTCCAAGCATCTATTAAAATTTATAGATCTAACACCAAGTAAAGCTACACACGTGCATCAAGTTTTTCCCAACATTAATAGCACAAATAGTTAGTCCAAAGATGTTGATTACTCATTTGAGAACATAACAATTAATAACATACTTTACTTGAATARCTCCAATACAAGACAAAGGAGTTTACAAGTAAAATTAATGGAAGTGTAATAGGACAAAATAAAGTTAGATAAGTAATAATTAAATATAATGTAGTAGAAATAGTGCTAATAGGCCAGATGTATTAATTAAGGTAATCAACAAGTGGATATAATATAAAGAAATAGAAGTAGGGAAGGTAGAGATGGAGAGGGAGACTTAGTGACGATGGTATCTCTTCAAAAATAAAAGAAATAAAAAATAATAATAATAAAAAATTTAGATGGAGATGAGATGGAGTAGTATATATATGGCATTGGTATGGAAATATAATCACAAGCTAGCAAGAAGTAGTCAAGTGCATTTTCTTGATTAATATCAACAAAACTAGTCGTTTTCTTGTTGTGTTTTCCTAGATTCATTGAAATGGCTCCCCCGTCAAAACCCACAAGCTGTGTGAACGGTGGTTATTGGCTGAGCAGCACAAACCAGCAACTTCCTCCTTCCAATATCGATGCTAAACTCTTCACCCATTTATTTTGTGGCTTTGCTGAGATCGACCGAAATAGCTATGAAGTTACCGTTCCTGCTTCGCAAGCGACCCTAATCAATCAATTTTCTTCAACTGTCAGAATGAGCAATCCTGATGTGAAGACACTGTTGTCCATTCGAGGAGACAGAGACGTATTTGCTAAAATGGCTAGCGAACCCACCTATCGTGATGGATTTATTCAATCCTCCATTGAAGTAGCAGCAAAAGGCAAGTTCAACGGTCTGGATCTCCAGTGGTTGTACCCATCTTCTGAAGAAGAAATGCAAAACTTTGAAATTCTCCTTGGTGCATGGCGCCAAGCTGCTGTGGATGATGCTAAAACCTACCATCGACCACAATGGATCCTTGTTGCTTCCGTCTCCAACTTACCCTATGTTGAGAGCAGTATTGTGTACCCAGTTGAAGAAATCAAACAAAACTTGGATTGGGTAAACCTCATTTCTTACGACTTTTACACCCCAGCTTCCTCCCCCTCTGCTACTGGACCATCCTCTGCACTCCACAACCGCATGGCCAGATCCTTGTCCGCAAATTTTGGAATTGACGCTTGGATTCAAAGTCTTGCCAATTTGCCTCGTAAGCAGATTGTATTTGGAATCCCTTTCCACGGCTGGGCATGGAAGCTCGCCAACCCCGACAAGCACGACGTCTTTTCAAAGGCTCTTGGCCCAGCTAAGGGAGATCAATATATTTCTCAAAACGGCCAAATCGATYATTCCAATGTCAAAAGGTTTATAAAACAGAACCATGCTCAATATGTGAAAGATGACTCCCGATATTCAATCTCCTACGCCTATGCTGGTACCACTTGGATTGCATACGAAAGTGAATACACCATTCCGGATAAAATTTCATCTGCAAAGTCAAGCAAGGTGCTTGGTTACTTTGCTTGGAATATTGCTGCTGACGACGAAGTCAACACTCTTGCTAACGCAGCCCAAACCAATTGGTCCTAATTTCATTTCCTCTATTTTTCTTCCCATCTTCAATCAGCTTTCAAATCGTTCAATAAAATCAGCATGCTATGCTATGCTACATGCTACATTGCCTTTTAATTCTAAACACTATTTAGCTTCATGCTATTGCTATCTTCTTTCACTTATTGTATTTCCTACCATTCAATAAAATTGCTACTCGATTTCCTTTTCATCAGCTTTCTTCTCTCCTTTTGTCTTCAATAATAAACAAACTGTTTGTACAGTAACGGGGAATGCTCAARTTCTTAAAGTTTTAACATGTTTAGTTTTGATCAACCAAACAAYACAATTCAAGGACTTGTGAATAGATCAATCATTTATAGGTTGAAAATCTTGTCCCATAAATCCACGCYCGTACTCATTAGTAGTGTATGGAATCGTTTCCGAGCACTACATGCAAATATATCATAAAGTCATGCACATACCATATCTAAAAAAATTCAGTGATTTGGATCTATTTAAATTAACTCTTATTGAAAATAGTAGGTAATTGAGCTAAACTTGTCAAACCAGTCATCCAATCAATAGAGAATTTTATAAAGAAATAACGTTGTTAAAAAATGGCAGCAACTTTGTCATATATATGAAGATTTCATATCATATGAAATTACAATTCAAGTTTGATTTATGATTCAAATAATTTTCATTAATATACTACTATTTGTTTTTTGAAATTTTCTTTAACACCAATATTTTTATATAAACATTACCTGTATTTTTAGATATGCTGATTAAAAACGAACAATTGTAACCTAATTAAGTCACAATTAAGTTTTTTAAACAATTTCCATCAATTTGTATGATTCTCATAACTTTTTTTTTTAAATATTTGTCGAGATCTACACTCTATCGACATTTCATTCAAACCAAGATCGAGACATTTCAGTCGATATCGACGTTCTGAACCATGATAATGRCAAATTTGTGATACGAAGTTCGATGTCCGTGGCATTGTTTAAAAATGATCTTTTATTTAATAGTTAAATGTTCGTTTTAAGAGAGAATTTTGATCAGCATCTGCTTCTCTTTTAATATTTTATTCTCTAATAATGGTGCTTGGTGTGTGTAAGGAAGATAGAGGCGTTGGCAGTTACTTTTATTTATTTAATTTTTTGTCAAAAAATAATAGACACATAAATTGCACCATAAACAACTAAAATGGAATTGATAATTTAAAATTGGTTTTGATTATATTATCTCCTTTTTTTAATAATAACTTTATTACTTTTAATTTGTTTGTTTATTTGTGGTATATATACTTTCAAAAATGTTTTTAGAATTTTTATCAAGATTTTATAAACTAAAAAAGTAAGTTTTTAATATCATTTSTTTCGTCTCTTGGATGGTGTAGTGGTAGGGCCTTGAACTTTCTTTCATCTTTTACAATCAGGTCTTCGGTTCAAGTCTTAATTTTTTCAAGCAAGATAAATAAAAAAAAATTAACTTTTAATATTTTGWTGGAAAACTAAAAAATGTATGAAACAAATGTACATATGAAACAATGAAATTGAKAATAAACTATCTTAAAATTTTTAAAACGTAAAAATAAAAAAGAGAGATAATTCGAAAATTATTTATTTTGTGCTATTATTTTATGCGTCTGATTTCCCTTGTTCATAAGGGTAAAAATAAGCTGAATGTGTTCCGTTTTCTAACGTTTTAAACTCGGAAACCGTGTTTTAAGCTTGGTATAGTATCCAAAACCTTTCATTTTAARTTAACTTATGTTATACATGCACATAGGACGTTTTTACATCATTTAGAGTTGATTTCTAACGAAAATTACACTTTTGTGCAGAAAAATTTCGAGCTAGGCACCTGGCGCCTTCCCCAATCTCGAGATTGCCCTTAATGTAAAACGCATGTTTTGGTGTGATTTGAAGCCTTCCCAAGCTCTGCCACGTGTCGTCCATGCATTAAAGGTTGCCAATTCAACAACTACCCAACMAAAAGGTGTTTGAAATGGATGGCTCTCCACAAAGCTCTCAACCTCCTAACCACCTTGAAGTCCCTATAAATTCAGCAAACTCATTTTCTTCATTAATCATCCCGGAGTGATCATTTTAGCTTTAGACATTCCTTCTCAGCTTATTTGGGTTTTCTCTTTTAGCCTTTGAGTTGTTATTGCTTTAAACCTTGTTAATTTCTAGTTTACCCTTTATTTCTAGCCTGTTAGACTAGAATTGTAAGTTTTAGTCTTGTTTAATTAAAATTCCAGCAAGTTCTTTGTTACTCTTATCTCTCTCATTCTCATTACGTAGTTGTAATCACTCAACCTTGAGCAATCGACCGAGTATTGCTCCCCAATCTTGAAAGAGAACGGGTTAGGGTCATTCGGGTTGCAACTCCACAATTTCCAGCTTGTTTTAATTTTACTCATCTTTTAATTATGTCGTMTACTTCCATCAACATTAAATTCTGTTTTTCCTTTATCATCATGAGMTAAATTATTTTTCCCAAGCCCGGTTATGGATAGTTAGTTAAAGTTTTTAAAATCCAACAAGGCAAAAGGCGTTTTTCTCCTCTTTTATCACTTAAAGTTGTTTCCATAAGTTGGA